TAGAAATGAAAATTTTTAATAGTAAGGGACATTTGAATTATGTCCTCACAAATAATTTAGGGACCCATCTTTACCTACATGATCTAGCTATTCACTAACTATTTTATTACAAGGGAGTAAGTTCATTAAGCTATTACTGCGTGATACTAACTATCTTAGACTTTCCAAATCTTAACTCTCTAGATGTGATTGTGGGGAGTAATAGAATTGCTCTTTCCTGAAGTTAGACACCTTTGATCTTCACTCCAAGAGATCAACGCCAGCCTACACTTAGACTGTCACTTCAGTACAACCTTGTTGTCCTAAGAGAAAAAAATTTTTATTTTTCTAAGAAGAAAAGGGGAAATAAAGGGGAAGGAAAAGTTTGTGCTGGTAAATAAAAATCTATCTAAACCAATCACCAGCCTAATGAGAGCCTTTTTTGGTCTTGAGAAGAAAAGAAACCAGCTCAAGAGGGGAGAGGGAAGACTTCAAGCCACTTCTTATCAAAAGGACACCTCGACACCTTGCTCTTTTGCCATTATCCAATTATATCATCAGTTTTAGTGTGGTATGACATGGAACACGTGGGAGTACGTGTCTTGTTTACTTTTCTTTTACGTGTCGATCAACCAGTCCCAAAATTTCAGCCAATCATCAATCAGAGATTCCGGTGTAACAAAAAATTCAGGGTCAAACTGAGGTAGGCAAAATTCCCTAGAAAAAACCACAAAAAAATTTGTCATGCTTGAAAGTACTATCGCAGACATATATAACTGGTAAAGAAGATTATACACCTGCAGATAGATTCCTACCAGCTTATCCACCCACCTGAATCAGGGCTTTAACTTATGGTAGACCCAAGATTTTTATGGAGCTTGGGAAATGCATTCACTTGATAGGCCCAATTAGCTTATCTATTTGCCTTTAGACTAAAGGTTGTTTACTTATGGTTCTTATGGAACTTGGGAAATGCATTTACTAGTGGTTTACTTTCTGAAGTTCCAGACCTAGGAAAAATATAGTGGAGGGTATTTTTTCGATAGATTTCTTCTTCCTAATAAGGTGTTCTTACCATAAACCAAATGAATAAAGCTTTGTTTATCTTGTCGTTGAAATATCCAAAGTTTTTAGAAGAAGAAAAAGTAGACAAGTAGGAGAGACACTAACCTTCAGGAGATAATGTTTTTAAGGAGAATATATAAACTTTATTATCAAAAATAAAGAAATATTTTTGAGAATGTCTGTTTTTTTGGGTTGGCAAAGGGATCAGCGGAAAGAGTAAATATTATTTTATTTAATATTTGTAAATAAGTTCAAAGTCTTTATCTTATAATAAATTTATTATTTAAAGTATTTTTAAAAATAAAAAAATAACAATTATGTTTTTTTTTATATACTGTAATAATAAAAATTGTTTTTGTAATTTTATAGTTACACAAAACTTTATTGGCGCGATCATTTATATAATCACTAATCGTGTTACACAAAACTGACCGACCAATGATCCAAGCCACCATCGTCGATCGACTCTATTTAGTAATACCTGCAACGTATTTTATGGTAATTTTAATTGAGTGGTAATGAGAGGTAACGAATTCGTCTTTGAGTCGCGAAGGCTTGTATGATACTATGATTTGCAATAATGATTTTTGGTGGTTTCATGGCCATACACATTTTCTTACTTTTTAGATGTGAATCGAGTATGTAAAAAAAAGACAAATAAAAGAATGATGTTATTTACTTGCTTTGTCGCTTTTCTCTGCAAGTTAATCTTATCAAGAAAGGCAGTAGATCTTATCAATTAGTCGCGGTCCAAACCGGACAAGTGACCATTCTTAATAATTTATATGATGAGACACTGTTGAAGATTCGAAAATAAATATGTAATAATAAGAATCAATCGTCTATACCTATCAAATTAAAAATGGGTTTAAAAGACGCAGGAAAAAGATTTAACTGTATCTTTCTACGAAGATAGAATTTATGTGCTTTGGAAAAAAATCGAAACAGTTAGGTGTGTTGTGTTTGTGAAATTTTTAAGAACCATATTTTAATCAGCTGAGCTATCCTTATATTCCATTAATTTAACAGCAAGGTTAGGTGCATTCTGTTTAAAAGTTCTTATCACCTTACTATCTTTATATATGAAATAATATAAAGATGAGCCTTGGGATAATCGAAAGAAATAAAAAAACTATTTTTATGTAACACTTACATGGTTGATTAGAGCATAATCTATCTATATCTTTAAATAATTCGATTAATCGCAATTCGGAAACTTTTTTTTAAAAAATAGTTAATTAAAATAATTATAAAAATAATTCATATTAAAACACATGTTATATGAACAAGAATTTATACCATTTGAAGACGAGTTTGGTGAAGATATAGAATCAGTTTCAGAGATTTCTATAAAATTGGCACTATATTAATTAAGTTTAAATGCATAGACGTAAAGAAAACAGACTTTAAGTTTTCTTACTTGTTTCTAACCATTTGGAGGTTAATTCACGATGAGGATGATTCTCACAGCATTTTTCTTCTCCTTTAAATACGGGCCCCGTAACCATAATTTCCTCACCAAGTCTTTCGAATACATCATTAACACTCGGACGTCTGTTAGGATTCTCGTCCCAGCATCTTCGATAGATTTCTATATACTCGCAAGGTGTGCCTGGTACCGGAGTTTCCCTTTTACCACTTAATATAGCCAGAATATTTTTCTGACCTTCAAATGGAGGTGTTCCGCTCGAAATTTCCCAAAATACAACTCCCAAACTGTATACGTCAGACTTTTTTGTAAAATTATCATAATTTTCTTCATTTAATACAACTGGGTCCACAAATGCCGGCACTCCTTTCAGTATTGAAAATGTTAAACTTCCACGGGACAACACTTTTGACATTCCAAAATCAGTTATTATCGCCCGAATTTTCCCATCGCGTTTCGATAGAACTATATTTTTTGTATGCTAGTCGTAATATAATTTAAATCATTTGTACCATACATACCAGTTATTTACGTAAGAGTAAGTGATATTCAATATTTCCTTACCAGGTCTCGATGCAAAATTTCATTAGCATGTAAAAAGTCTAAACCATTAGAAACCTGTCTACTAATGTCAATCTTTTCTTTCCACGTAATTTCGGCGAATTTCTCTTTTAAATATTCGCGTAAATCACCTAATTCAGCATATTCTAGAACTATTATATAGGATCCTTCGGGCGCTAAAGTACGAAATAATGTTAAACACATTTTTACTTTCGCTAATAAACATTCATTTGAAATCAAATTACCCCGGCTAAACAAAAAAAAAAAGAAGAGAAAAAATGTTAAGTTTATTATTAATATTGTGATACATTCTTATTTAAATATACCTTGTTCCAAGAAACTTTATAATATTTAGATTAGAATCTCTCGTATTTACTGTACCATAAACTTTCACCTGATAATAGATAGTTTAACGGATACGTTAGTTAACGTTGTTAGGCGCAAAAAGATGTTTAACGCAGATACAACCTCTCTAACAAGCTCCTGATACGATTTTGTGTTTACGAATTTTAATATAACGTATTTTTTATCACTTCCGTCATTCCATGTTGCCTTTTCCACTTGACACGTACTTCCTTTCGCCTTATGTTCTAACAAATTAAATTCATTAAATTCAATATTTTTTATGTACATATCTTTTGACAATTTTCTGAACCGTCGGCGATATTTATCAGGTCGGCCAGCAATCTTAAATTAGTTTAATGAGTTAAAGATATTAGAAAGATTTACTGTATATAACTTTAATTTAAATACACACCCACCAAAGTTTCGAAAGTGCTCATCATTCTTCTCACGTGACCAATAAAATAATTTAAAAATATGGTGAAAAGAATAAAAAAATATATAACAATATCTAGTATAAAATAAAGGTATCAAAGGTGCGACTGCATTCAGTATTTTATTTAATATTTCCCTCTTATATATTCCGAGCTGCCGTCGTTACCTCTATAAAGTGTCCAAGAAGTAGCGATTATTTCATTTTCTGCATAAATAGGTTCCAGGAGTATTGAACAAACACCCTGAGATGTGTCATATGTGTCAGATATTACCAAAGAAACTATGTCATTTCTAAGAGATTTGTTTTTTCCATGTAATATTTTCGAGATAGCAGTGTTAAAAACATGGGTTCCAAAGCCGTCTAACAATTTCTGATCAATAAAGTATGATGGGTTTTCGGGTTGAGGATACGAAGTTATGTCATTATACTGTGTTAGAAGATCACATTCAGTATATTATTTAGAGGATTCTTTTAAGAAAATATATTATTTACCAAATCTTTTACTGAGATATTCGTTATTGTTTTCTGTACAACCCTAATGTCACGTGATAACCTGATAAGAACGACTTAGAACGACTTTAAGCGCTTAGGGATCATATGGGATTTACAGTACATACCTTATAGAATTTACATTTTTAAACATCCGATAATTTTGTGGATGCTGTAATAATATATAAGAGCTTTGGTGGAAATCTTGCGAAAATGATGAATTATAAGGTGTGCGTTGAATGTTTGTGGTATTCTGGAGAATTAACAAATCCGCAGCAGTCAGTTTTGGTTTATTATGACTGTTTCGCGCGATCAAACGAATTCAATGTAATATTTGGCGTGATCGACAAAAATGAAAGGGCGAAACATAACATATTAGCAATAACGGTCAAGGTAGAAAGTATATAGGTATATTCTGAATTACAACCAACTTGGGAATCGTACGCGTGGCGAAAATTTCATCATTTAAAAAACACCTTTCCTACCTCATACTCTTTCCAACGAGGTTTATCCATTGATAAAGATGAATAAAAAGATAGTAATATAAATGTTTTAAGTTTAGAAAATTAGAACAAGAGTTTTTCTATTGCGTTCTAATTTTCTTTTCTTACAACTTAGGCAGGAGTGATTAGTCTGGTACTATATTACCGCAATTTTAAGAGAGATGAGGGAAAAGCGTGTGTATGTTTTTTCAGTGCTCACTGCAGATGTCGAGGACATTTAGTAAAAACATTTCGGTCATTCCATTCCCAAATATAGAATGATGTTTTCCAATCATTTTAATCATTTTTGTGTGATACATTCAGTTACAAAATAAGTAATTCCCTGGATATAAAAAGGAGAACCGTTAAACCTTCCCAGTTTGTGATTTTCTAAGGTCAGGTATAAGAAAAATGGTCGCCCAAGAATAATCGGGGATACTTTCTGGGCAAAACCAAGCAACGATAATAAAAATGTTGTTCATAATACAGCTAGATTCGCGCACAAAAAAAAAAATTTTTTTCAATGATCTTTTGAAAAGGATAATGTAGTTACACACGTCATCGCGGAGGTTGACAATTTCCGCTGCTGAAATCACGTTGCCATTTGCTCTTGGATTATACAAAAATTTGAATATGACGAGGTGCTTTCATCGGAGTGGCTATGTATGATAACACAATAATATACAGTAATTACTTGTGTTCTTTAATGGACAGACTTATCAGAACTCAAACTTTTATGCACACCAGTAGGCTTTATCGCTCTTACTACCGGTGTTGGTGATGACGTAGCCGCGTGGATCTGCTTGCGTTAATGGTTTCCATTATTGATTCATCAAATAATCTTAATACCTCAAACGCGTTATTATTTGCATATCATTGTACAGAGGGGTTACTAAAAATTGGGTCGATTTTTTAATAGATGAAAATTATCAAGTGATACATTTATTTTTATTATATAAGTAATAAACTACCAATGTGTCGCACAACCTTTTTTTTTGATTACTTCATTTATACAATCAGGCATAGTATCTATATGATTACGAATCTTACTAAATTCAATATTATTCCATGCTGTAGTAACAGCTTCTTCTAAATCAAATTCATTACATGGTTTATGGTTCTTATAAATCCAGATTTTAATATCTCTCCATATATTTTCAATTGGACTAAGATCTGGAGATTGTGGTGACCACTCGATAGACGTAATATTAAGTTCAGACTTGACTTTTTTCACAAGTTTACACTTGTGGATAGGAGCATTATCCTCCTGTAGTATTCCTTCTTCAGTAATGGAAATTATTGGATAAATTGTATCCAAAATAAGATTTGAATATTCTTCTCCATTCATATGAGTTGAGGTACGAGTTAAGTAATGCAAATCGCTTCCATTCATACATCCCCAAACCATAATTGACTTGTGTCCACTTTTAACAGTTGCTTGTGTACAACTCGGGTCATAAAGTTCATCTTTATGACATCAAATTCGAATTTTGCCAGTTGAATCAGTGCTTATAGAAGATTCGTCGGTCTATAAAACTTGTCTTCAATCCTCTTTGGACCAATTTTTGTGAGCCCAGACCCACTTTAATCATTTAATATGGTTGGTTTTACTGATCATGAGTTTTTTTCATACGATGTGAGATCGAATGCCATTTTTTTTTAAAATTCTTACTAGAGTGGTTGAGGATATAGGATTTGTTAGAAATTCGGCAACAATTTTTTTTTTCGGCATTCTTCTAATCTCTGGATTCATTTTTATCTTGCGAAGAATTAAACGTTTAAACTGTTGATTTACAATTGATTTTTGACCACAGTTTTTTCTTTTCAAATAACCCGAATTGCCGGTTGACTTCAAATGCCTAATACAATTTTTGATGCAATTGTCCGATCGTCCAAGAATTCGTGCAATTTTAGCTACGGACATACCTTCTTTTTTTAATATTTCTATAGTATGAAGTTCACCTTCTATAAGATCCTTTTTCGTTCCCATTTTTTTTTAAAAAATTAGTTTTTTTTTTTAATTTTTTACTTAAATAAAAAACAAACAAAAACAATTTTCTTTTGTTAACCCGCAGTATAATGCAGGTACATATTTAATACAGATAATTGTGAATTACTACAAAGGTGATATTCATCGATCTAATTTTTAGTAACCTCTCTATACGTCCTATATTGTTAAAACTTATCATTAGAAATGGTATTGAAAATGGATTCAACATATCATGATGGCCGTTACATTGTACCTTGGATTACTCTCCATATTTTATATGGACATTATTGGAATTCACACAATATTCGGTGGTTTCCTAATTGGAGTCATTATACCCTTAATGATCTGCTTTTATCAATCGTATCTTTTTAGGCCAAACTTAACAATTTTTCATTTTTGATCATTTTTTTACAACTTCAATGTTCACTTTCAGTACTTTTCATTGTCTGAACTAAAAACTCAAATCGATCTCTTGAATGATAAAGCATCTTTGGTTTTGTAATTTTTAGTTCCTGGTTGCTATTTTCAGAAAATGACTGATTTTATGTTGGCCACTAGATTAGAATAGAGGGAATCCTTGACTATTGGTATTTTATGAGCATAAGGGTAACGAATTGATATGATTATTTATAAAAAGTAAAACAAAGTGAGATACGAGTATAGTTACAGTATTTTTATATTCTTTATTTAATAGGCTATATACTGTGTATCCTTCTAAATATAAAAAAAAAGATAGGAGATTCAACGCGCTAAATCTCGTAACAATGAGCAAGGACAAAGTTAAATTGATAGTGGTGCTGGCGACTTTCGTAGAGAAAAAAAACTGATGATCTTCGTTAGCAATTAGAAGATCTCCGTGGCAAATACACAACAAAAATAAAATTAATTCTAAATAGTTTAACTACTGTATAAAAAAAAAGCATATATATAATATTGCATTTAATTTTATTTAAATATTATGCTTTTTAAATAAAAAATTTAAATAAGTAAAATATTAACAATTATTGTTTTTTTTTGCTTCAAACAAAATATATTGTTTTTATATTTCTTTTAAATCTTATTTTTATAAATACAGTATATACTGTAAATTATTATTTATAAAATTTTTAACAAAATAAATTATTATTATAAATAATAAATGCAAGTAAATATCTTAAATTAAAATATTTAATACTCTATAAATAAAGTAATAATAATAATATATTTATAATTTTAAAAAAATAAATAATTTAAATATAGGGCTTCTAATAGTACTACTTCAATATCTATTTGATATCAGTTCAATACTTAAATTTACTATAAATTCATATGAGTAGATCACAACCCATATATTAAATTTACTATAGATTGATATTATTTCGATACCATTTTGGTACTGGTATAATACTTTTTGGAGCCCTATTTAAATATAATATTTTTTTTTACATAAATTTTTTTAATTATAAAATATAATAAAATATTAAAATTAATATCAAAATTAATTAATACAGTTTTTAAAATTAATTTTTATAATTTAATAAATAAAGTTTAAATTAAAGAAACTTTAAATATTATTTATAATGTAATAATTTTATTTTGATATAAATTTTAACTAATTTTTTTATTTATTAATGGTTTTTATTATTTGTATTTTTTTAATAAATTAAATTTTATTATTTTTTATATATTTAAAAAAATTTTATCAAGTAAATTTATTTTTTGTATTGATATTTCAAATATATATATTTTATTTATTGATTATTTAATTATAAGTAAAATTATAAATAAATTTATTATTTATAATAATAATTTATCTTGTTAAAATTTTTATATTTATAAATAAAACTTGAAAGAAATATAAAAACAATATATTTATTTAAAGCAAAAAAAAACAATAATTTTTAATATTTTATTTATTTAAATCATTTATTGCTTAAGCAGAATTTGTGTATGAACAAAAAGTCTCTAAATATAACATTACATCATATTTTTTATGCATCTTAATATATTTATCTAATATACAGTACTTTATCTCATTTCTATAATAATGCTCACATTTACAAGTCTACATTTACTTGATTAATTGTACTTAGACGTGTTATGATTCCTTTTTTGCAACCATGAGTGTTTGTTGAATGACCCGTGCTTTGAGGGTCGGTATGCAACAATTGATTATTAAAATTAATAATAAATACATGGTTTAAAACATAGATCCAAGTAATAATATCGACAAACTAAAAGTTTTAAATCATCATCTAAAGATATCAAAAAAGGCAAAGGATCTATATGTTTTACACATGCATTACGTAATTATTGATACTACGCGTAAAGATTATAGATGAAATCCTCCCACGAATTAATACGTAAACTTTTATCTCCAATATAAAAATAAGTGATTTTCACATAAAGAATAACTTAACTTTTCCTCTCTATACCTAAAAAATCCTTTTTACTTCTTCATTTCCTTTTCATTTCCTTGTTTTTTTTTTCATTTCCTTGTTTTCTTTTTTGTTTCCCATTTTTCTTTTTGTTTCCTCATTTTCTTTTCATACTTTTCTTTTCTTGGGCTGAAAAAAAACCCCTCTAGAGTGAAATCTAAAACTATTCACTTTTTACTCTTTCGTCGAGTCCATAAGCAAGTGGCGTTATAGCATTGTATTTCTGGGTTTGTCGTGACTATTGATGATGGCCTGAGCTGGGATTGTACCTCTAGTCGGCATACAACCTTGGTACTCTGCCTATGTGTTGCGAAAAAATCGTATTATTTTTTATTTCCTTATTAGTTTTCCTATCGATTTCATTTTTTATTTTGTCGAGCCTAGTAATATTACTGATTCTGGAAGTGGAATCGGTCACTTTTCTTATAAGACAACATTATAGGGTGAGTGGTATATAGTACGTTATCCAAGATTCGTCATGACTAGTAGGAATGAATTTACTCAGTAAGCAAAAGTTTGTAATTAGATGGCTAAATGACCCAAGGAATATCACCTCCACGAACACCACTATTACCGCCATGACCACCATTATGACCATCACTATCATTACTATACATGTGGTATAA